TCCATTTGATGGTAGGGTTCACTGTATGATATATGTTTTTTTTTTTTTAGCTGAAACAGGGTACAAAAAATTAAAACTACAGTCAAAATCCTTTACAGAGAATACAACAATTCCCGGACGACTTTTCACATGTGTCAAGGATTATCATAATTATGCGTTCTTGGTGTATCAGCTCTTTTGAAGTTAAGTAATAGTAGCATGTATGCAAATTAATCATCCCAGGAGGGTCCCTGACGAATGTTACTTTGTAGCAAGGCAGGGAGGTTGCTAGCAAGTGGAAGCCTTAGAGCCCATTGCTATGCTGAACCCCGGATGAAGAAGTTGAATGATGCTCTCGGTATTTCAACGGAATATGTTGCAAGATAATGGATGTATTCTCAGACGCGCCGGTCTACAATCTCCCGGTTTGTTTTCCCGGCCAGTCCCCGTCGTCAGCTGTGGTTCAATTCGGCCCGTGAATGAAAAAAAGTTCCCCCCCGCTGACCTTGGGGGGGGAAATTAGCATAGTAACTTTGGCACTTTCTCCCCGGGCTGTAGCCCCCCGCTCTGCCATAACTCTACGGTGCCGGCCATTCGCATTTCACTTACGAATGCTCGCGGAAAAGTGGGTTTTCACTCTTCGCCCGGTAATGGAGGGGGGAAAAATGGCGCAGAATTTGATTACACTGGGCTCTCGCGCCCTTTAAAGGCCTTATTATCAGGGAAATGACGAACAAATTTCTGTTCATTGTGAGATAGTGTAATGGAAACACGAGTTACGTCGCGATCCTAAATGGTATGCAAATGCAAGTGTCCGCTCCGGGCCGGGAATTTTAATTCATTTTTGTCGTCCTTTAGTGTTTATAATGCGTCTTTATACATACATGTATACGCTCCGACACACACCCGCGGGCATTCACACGGACATTCACACACACACAACACACACACATCACACATACATATATATATATATATATATATATATAATATATATATATATATATATATATTTATACACACATATATATATACATTATATATATATATATATATATAATATATATATATATATATATATATATATATATATATACATACATACATACATGCACACACAACACACACACACACACACACACACACACACACACACACACACACACACACACACACACACACACACACACACACGTGCATACATACATACATCCGTACATACATACATACATACATGTACATAGTACATACATACATACGTAAGTCCATACATACATGCATACACACGCTCTCTCGTTTGTGCGTTCATATATTTCCATACACGGCCCTCTCGCTATTGCTCCGTTTGTACACGCGAGGCGCGCAACCCTTTCCACATCCGGCCGCCATGTCTACGTTCGTTCCCGGCTGCCACAACGAGTGACAAATGACAGCTGTCCATCACGAGAGGAAAGACCCAGCCGCCCTCTTTCAAAAGACCCGAGCTCCTGCTTCTGCTTCTGCTTCTGCCATGAATCCGTGGAAGGAGGAAGAAAAAGGGCGAGTTCTCGGTAAAGGAACCTTATTGTCCCGCGACAGTCAGACTATTAAGTAAACAAGTCTTGTACAGAGAGAGAGAGGGAGCGGCGGCCATATTTCACGCTAATGGATGTAAGGGCAGAGGCTGTGCTTACTGGGTCTTGTCTGCTGGCTTTCTTTTTTCTTTTTCTCTTTTTTTTTTTTGGGGGGGGGGGGGGGGGTGGGGGGGGCTTCAGTGTAGAGGATGAAATATGTTTTTGGTTGTTTTGTTTTTTTTTCATGATGTTTTGTTATGTAATTGTTATTATGATTATTTTATATATTATTGTTATTTATCATTATCATTATTATATATTATTATATTCTTCTTATTTTTTATTATCATTATTATTATAATCATTATCATCATATTATTATTGTTCTTGTTGTTGCCATTATCATTATCATTATTATTATCATTATTATTATTATTATATTATCATTATCATTCTCAATATCATTATCATTATTAGCATCAGCGTTATTATAATCATCATTATTGTTGTTGAAATTATGATTATCATTATTGCTATTATCATAGTTATAATAAAAATAACGTAATATCATCGTCATCACCATCATCACACCACCATCACCATCGTTACTATTGTTGTTGCTTTTATTATCATGACATCTCATTACCATTACCGTTATGATTATTACTGTCGTTGTCATTGTTGCTGTTATCATTCTCATATTTATATCATTATTTGCAATATCATTATCATCACTACCATCAATATAACCTCTACATAGTCTACGTTTACCGTCCTTTTAAAGCACATTGTATTATTTGTCCAAAAAAAAGAGCTTTGAAGTGCTCGACCAACTAGGGAGTTTATCCTCAAGAAAAAACGAAAGAAAACACACGAAATCTCTCTCCATGTTTTCCTTGGTCTGTGTCTATAGAGTCCTTTTATCCCGTAACCCAAGCTCTGTGTAACTCCTGCTACAAAGTGTCTGTCTGTGTGTTGTGTGTGTGTGTGTGTGTTGTGTGTGGTGTGTGTGTGTGTGTGTGTGTGTGTGTGTGTGTGTGTGTGTGTGTGTGTGTGTGTGTGTGTGTGTGTGTGTGTGGTGGTGTGTGTGTGTGTGCTTTGTGTGTCTGTATGTGTAAGTATGTGTGTCTTTTTTGTGTGTATATGTGTTTGTGTGTCTGTATCTGCGTACGTGTGTGTTTATGTGTCCGTATATGTGTACGCGTGTGTGCCTTTTGTACGTGTGTGTATGCCCTTGTGTTTCTGTATCTGGGTCCATATGTTTGTGTACACTTCTGTATATGTACGCATTTACACCACCTCGTACGTACACGCCCGCGAGTTAATGGCATACCCCATCCATCTTATTGCCAAGGAGCATTCCTAAGAACCTCACAACACACAACCAACGTCTGTATACATGTGCTCAAGGAAGCCAACACTGATCCTGGCACGGCACTCTCGTAAAATCCTATACGCGTATGAGAGGGTTCTTTATGGTATCACTTGCAAAGCCACTCCTTGCAGCTACATGTTGCAACTTCAGCAATAATGGTTATGATGGTTACGATGATGGGGATGGTGATGGTGGTCCTGGATATGATGTTGATGATGATGATAGTAGTAGTAATGGTGATATGTTGATGATAAGAACGATTAAAATGAAACATTGTGATGATGATAAAAATGATAAATTGATAGTGATGATCATAATAATAATGACAATTATAGTAATAATGAAAATGATAATGATAGTAATGACAATAATATTTTTAATGCTAATTGTGCTACTAATAATGACAATGATTATAATAACAATGATAACAAGAATAATAACAATGATAATGAATAAAATAACAATGATAATGAAAATAACTAATAAAAATTGTGAAAATGATAATGACGATTATGATGATGATAATGATAGCAAAGATGATTACCATCACTGTTATTATTACGAGAAGAATGATAAATGATAGTAAAGATAACCACAGAAAAGTTAAAATAGAAAAAGTAGTAGTCATAGCAATGGTAAGAGTAGTAATGATAATAACAAGACTATTAAGAGTAGTAGGGATAATAACAAGACTATTAAGAGTAGTAGGGATAATAACAAGACTATTAAGAGTAGTAGGGATAATATATTAAATAACAAGACTATTAGTAGGGATAATAGAGACTATGACTATTAAGGTAGATAATAACAAGACTATTAAGAGTAGCAAAGTTAATAACAAGACTATTAAGAGTTAGTAGGACAACAAGACTATTAAGAGTTAGGGATAGTAACAAGACTATTAAGAGTAGTAGGGATGACAACAAGACTATTAAGAGTAGTAGTACTATTAAGAGTAGTAGGGATAATAACAAGACTATTAAGAGTAGTAGGGATTAACAAGACTATTAAGTAGTAGGGATAGACTATTAAGAGTAGTAGGGATAATAACAAGACTATTAAGAGTAGTAGGGATAATAACAAGACTATTAAGAGTAGTAGGAGGGACAAGAGAGTAGTAGGGATAATAACAAGACTATTAAGACTATTATTCGTCTCCTCCGCAGGTTGTGGCTCACCATGACAGAGTACAGCTGGAGGATTGGGGCCGCTGCTCTGTTGCTGTTACTGATCGTCCAGCCACTACGGTAAGTACCCTACCCCCCCTTCCCCCCTTCCCCCCCTGCCGCTGTCAGCATGCCTGGCTGGGTCGTTAGTAGGCGTTTCCGAATTTTTATTGCGCGCTCCCCCTTGCCGTGCGCGCGGTTTCTTCTTTTGTTTCTGTGGGTGTTTGGTTTTCCTTTTTTTTTGTCTTTTTTCTTTTTTTCTTTGTTTTTTCTTTGTTTCTCTGGGTCTTCGGTTTTGTTTTTTTTTTCTTTTCTTTTCTTTTTCTTTTTTTTCCTTTTTTCCTTTTTTTCTTGTTTCTTGTTTCGGTTTTTTTTTGTTTCTCTGTTATTCTTTTTTTTTTGTTTTTTTAGGGGGTGTTCATTTGTTTTCGACTTATTTGTTGTTTATGAGATACATTGCTTTTACGTCCGTTTTCCTTTTTTCATATATTCGTTTTCTTTATTTCTGGTTCGTCTATTTATATTTTTTTTTTCTTTTCGTTTTCTTTTATATTTTCTCCTTCATTTTATTCATTTTTCTTTTTGTCAATTCTCCTTTTCTTCTTTTCACCTTCCTTCCTTTCTTTTCAGCAACGTTTCTCTCGTTCTTCCTTTCTTACTTGTTTGTTTTCTCTACCTGTTTGTCTCTTACAATTTCCATACAGCTGTGAAGTCTCTCCGTGATAGTTGAATAATCTTCCACCCTTCATCTTTTTTCCATCTATTCCCATCTTTATTCATTTCCAATCCGCCTGACAACCGCGACGCGAAAAAATAAAACCAAATAAATTAAATCCCCCGCCTTTAATCCCCTCCCGATCCCCGACAGAGACAAACAAATATGAGCTCTAAATCCCCCACTCACAGGGGCCGTCGCTGGCGTAAACT